GCCGCCAGGCCCCGGTCCTCGTCTCCACACGAGATACTCCTCACTTCCCCATTCGGACTCTTATAAAAACTTAAACAAACTTTGAATAAATTTTTTTGCGAACGTCAGTCGCTAGTGTTAAGTGCAATACGTGAACTGTGTTTTGTGTTTAGTTTCTGGGGTTTTTATTTTTTTTATTTGGATAAACGCAAAATGGTGCCCCAGCAAGTTTCTGAAGTGAGGTCTTTGACGCCCACGTCGAGCGGCGTACCGGTGTTCGGTTCGCAACTGGTCGACAAGAATTCTTCGACACCTTACACTGATGCCACTCAGGTTAGTGTAAACTTTATACCAGTGACCTAAAGTGAAAGAAAAAATAAAAGTGAAATTTTAAAATAACGAAAAATAAATAAAGCACAATTTAAATAATGTTCATTCAAAAATTCCATAAAAATATAAAACATTTATTTTAAAAATTTTAAGACCCGTGGGAAAATTTCAAATATGGAATATAATTCAGGAGAAAAAATAATTCTTTATTTAAAAATGTTTTAGACAAATAAAAATACAAATTCAAATTGGAAAGCAAAAATGAATTTATATTTAAAAATGTTTTATTCATTTCAAAATTCGAAATTCAAAATGGGGAATAAAATAATAATTTTAATTTTATATTTAAAAGAATTTAACAACTACAAAAAAATCGTCATAAATTTTCTTATAAACTCAAATACACAACTACCGACTGAAGTTACCGTCCAAATTAAGTAAAAAAAAACTTTTTATAATTAACTATGAAGGATACAGCGTTAAAAAGTAAAGACCCAAAAACTTTGTTAGACACGTCTTGATGAAATTAACTGCGGAACTTGCTTTCAATTTCGTAACTTCATCAAACTCTCAACTCCGCTGTAAAATAATTAAAATTTCGACACAAGTTAATAATCAAAGATGAGTTTCGAATTTAAACTTCGAAAAGAAATTAAAACATCCTTTCAAAAGTGTTCCAATAATGCGTAGATTGTTATGCGCTGTGGTTTTGTAAACATATTTTTTAGTTGCGTCGTATCTAAATTGATAAGTAGATCGATTCGCAAAAACAACGCTATTTTTAAAAACGCAAAAATTACGACTTATTTCGCTCAAGTGATAAAATATCTTTAAAAAATTTAAATAGCATTTATATGACCCTTTTTTAATCTGCATAATTTAGTATTAATGTTCACTGCACACGCCAATTAAAAATTTACCTGTGTAATTAAAAAAAAAGGGAAAAGTTATATTTATTCAGCGAGGTATAAAATCGGTACGTAGGTAATGGTCGGTAAAAAGGGTTGGAGCATTATCGTGTAGATAATCTTAATAAATATCCATTGGCCGGCGCGGCGGTTACACAGCCAGAAATTCAATTCGCTAAACGGCTTACTAACGAGGAATAATGATGTTTTAGCATGCGATACAGAGGGACGGAAGCACAGGAATTGTAACAGAATCCCACTTACATACCTAGATTAAGTCTCTTACAATTCAAGGAAATTCTAAGAGGCATGCAAAAAAAAATAGTGTCAATTTGAAATAAAAAAATACAAAAGTATTTTTAAATAAAAATTCCACATTAATTTCTGTCTCAAAATTCGTGGAATTAATTATTGAATTGTATTTTTAAAATAAAAATGTTGTTCTTATTTTTAAATTAAGAATATAATTTTTTTTTCTCTAAATGAAATTTATTTTTTTAAATTACTGTATTTTAATATACATTTTGCTTACAAATCCAAACAATATTGAATAAAATGTGTTATCAAAAAATATTGTGCAATTCTGAAACGAGTGCTTCTAATCACGTAGACAATTCTCAGTTCGCTGTAATATTATTATTCGAAAATATCACGTGCCTTCTATTTTAAATTCAAATTATGTTTCTCTAAATAACTAAACATGTCGTTAAAAATATTTAAGAGATTTTCTACATAAAGTGTCAACAGAGTTCGATTAAAAATAATCGAATCGATAGTAATACGAAAACGTCACAGATAAACACAATCGGACAAACGCGGCGACCGTTCGACTCGAGACGGCCACGAGTGCAACGACATTATATTCTTTTTTCAAATTATCGCATCAAATACATATTAACAGCGTTAAGTAAAGCTATAGCGGTCAAAACAATCGATATAAAAAAACAGAATCGAGATATTTATGTGCCAAGCGAAATGTACGTAAAATGCGCCGGCGCAGTGCAGAGTGCATTAACATTTCAATGTCAACTCGTAATATTTTTAGTCATCCTGTTGCGTGTGTTGGCCTTTCTCGAGCGTACGTATGATGACTAGTAGTACTAGGAAATCATATCGTCTACGGTATATCCAAGAAATTTCTGCAATCTTGAACTATCCTGTAACACCAGGAAGCTATTATCAATAGTTGAGTAAAACAATTTAACAATGAAAAAAGATTTACACTACATAGTCACGAGATCGCGGACAAAAAAATTATAATTGTAAATTGATTTTAATTGAATAGCGATTGTGAAATAATACGCTTAACGGAGTTGGCGTTTTCACGTTGATTAGGCGTTTCGGGATATAATCGTGTAAGACAAGTTGGCGTTTTTGTTCTAAGAGCAGCGCAGCACGTATCGGCTCGAGTTCGAGGCGACAACGCCAAGGTTGCGGGCGCCTCAGTTTCGTTTTATTACTACAATTGTGATTGTCCGTTCTCCAAACCGATTGTTAGATTATACGATTGGGACTGAAAAACTCGCTCCGTTTTTAATTTACTTTAAGCGCTTCCTAGAAATAAAAGGCACCCTGTAAGCGCTGCTAACTTTTTCCTACTTATCTTGAACTCGCGTTTTCTTACTCCAATCACGAAAATATCCCTTGAGTACTATAATACTGATCTTGTTTTGTTTTTATTTTCATAAAAAGTCAAGGAAACAACCTTTATGTTTAAGTGATTTGAAATCAATTTCGTATAAAACTTTTCTGTGTTCATGTTTTAAGTAAATTTATGTACCCTAATGCAGGAGCAGTGAACAGTTGGGCAAATCAAGGTTTGATTGTAAAATACACGGCGACGTTAGAATGCAATTTGCTCTACACTTGTGGGTGGTGTTTTAATGGTACCATTATGTTGGGGAACGCTGATTGTTGCAACAGAATTGCCTTGCGCTCGCCTCGCTCTATACTCTATACAAATGTTGCTTACACTCCAACTTTTTGTGTCAGATAATAAAATTTAACTATTTTATACTTTGACTGACGAATTACGAAGTTATAACCAATATCGTTTTTTCTGTATACTTTTACGATGTCTATAGACTTAAACGTCAGATAAAGTCGAGGGCTTTATTACGGTATGTCACTTAAAATATATTAAAAACAATTGTACAATTCCGTTACAAAAATATTCACAGTGAAACTGTCAGTTTAATTTTAAAAACAAAAAGTAAACATTTTCTCTGTGGCCAGAGTTTCAGCAAATTGTAGCACAAGCGTACAGCTTGGGAAATTCTAGCACTGACATGTAGAAACTAACAAACACCAATAAATTCTGTACTGCAACAGCACTGAATATTGCGCTGAAATTCAGACGGAACCGAATAACATTCATAAATGCATGTTATAATTAAACATTAAAAATATTAGATTACTTTTGTATTTAGAAACGTCACTAATAAAACCCCTTGGTAATTATCTTTAACAATTTCTTATTGCCGGCGACTACGTTCGGGTGGAATTAAAAAAAAGTGAGTAGCCTATGTGTTCTTCCAGACTATCCTCTACATCTATACCAAATTTCATCGAAATCTGTTGAGCTGTTTAGGCTACAAACTCTAACAAACATCCATCTAAACTTTCGCATTTATAATATAAGTATGATAGCGAAGTGTGTAAAGTCCATCGCGTTACCTTGCTATCAAATGGACAGAGGAGGGGACCTCAAATCATTCTAAATGTCCCATTCCCTAGTATAGTCGTGTTTCTTCACTACCAAATGACAATTTTGTATTTACTAAGAGAATACACTAGTCTATATTAATGTTATAAAGAGGAAAGGTTTGTATTTTTGTATGTATTGAAATAACTCAAAAACTACTGGGAAGATTTTAAAAATTCTTTCACCGTTAGAAAGGAAATTTATCTGTGAGTAAAAAATGCTATATTTTATTGTTACTAATGTTGAGGAACTATTAATAAACAACATATATCTGGACCACGGCGTTAAATGTTTTTATAAATGTCTGAGTTGTAAGTACAAATGGTTGTATTCCAAGTTGTGAGAAGATATTGGTTAACCAAAAACTTTGGCAGATCGTTCCTAATCCGAGCTGAGTTGATTAGGTGTTCACAACTGCCAACTTTATCTCACAACTTTGATTGGAAAGTAATGAAGTGACCGTAAAACTTACAATATCGTTCTTTTCCTACTTCACCAAACAATAGTTTCTTACGAATGAATAAGCTTTATTTTTATTGTTGCTTTTTATCTGTTTTATAAATAGATTTATTTGTTATATTTCAGTCAATGCCAATCACTTGATTAAGTAAAAGTAATGAGGAAGGATAGGTTTATGCAAGAAGTGAACCTGAGTTTTACGGAATCATGAAAAATTCTCAAACTTAGTATTTAATATTTTTATAATTAATTATATTAGAGTCTTAAGGATTATTTTTAAAGGCAATATCTTTAAGTACTTTAATTCTCGTGTACACGATAGACGAAACATTTCGCTTTGTTTAATTCAGCATCGAACCTAAAACGATAAAGTTTACGACTGCCTTTCAAACTGCACGCTTTCCAAAAAGAAATCAAACACATCCGAGCTCTGAATCTTTATAGCTTTCCTTATCAGCCTTGATGGCGGAATTAATTCATTTATATGCAAGAAATGGCCCTCAAGATGAGATAAACAAAAATCTTAAGTAGAAAATCAACGTACCTACCATCCCTTAGAAGGCGTCGTCAGCCGATGATCTTGGGGGAAGTAGAAAAATTATTGTTCCTTGATTCCGAAAGAAAAAAAACTGATCAGTAATTTTGACACACGAGTCTCTAGGAATTAATATTGAATTTACAATTTTCTTCTCTGTAAGACAACTGACGATACCAATGTTAGTATAATTAAATCCTTTTATTATTTGACAATCGTATGATCCCCGTTTACACATTTATTTTTGAGTTTTAAGGTTTTTTGTAAAGACTATCTTGTTATATGAATACCGAAGGTTCCACGTTCGACTGTATTGTGTTAACCTGATTTTGATAACCTGCCAAAAAAACTTAGACTGAAATTAAACCTTTTTTTAAAAGGAAACACTAAAATTGGT